CACAGAGCTGAGATCCTGTGTTCAGGCCACCAGAGATCAGTTTTATTTAACAAAGTTTCTACTACAATATGTACAAATGTATTAAAACAGCAAACCTACGTACAAAAGATGTGCTATTTAAAACCACATCATGTCATCTTTCTTCTAAGCTGTTTCAAGAATATTAGTCAGTTTTGTTTTCGCCCACCTTCCGTATATGTAAACATTATTACTTTTTTTTTAAATGCCTTTTTATATAGAGCATATATTGTTTTGATCTTCCTTGATGGCCATTTATATTTTACATGTATAAAATAGATTCCTATGGCTTATATTTTATCATTAGCTTCAAGTGGGATTTTTTTTTTCTTTATTTGATGGTCTGACCTTTAGTTGCTGTTCAGCTCGCACTGGGTTCCAGTCATTTCATCGAAGTGCTTTATGAACTTCCTCCGTGGTCACGTCATGTACCGCCTCCATAACCTGAACAGAGAAATGAAAACAGCAGACAGTTACTACCAACCAGACAAGCTGTAGTTTACATCAGTGTAAATATGGCTGCAATTTGTTCTTCTGTCTTTTATAGTGTTCAGTACATGTACAGGACAGAAGATGGATTTAGACAGGGTGACATCATCAGTTGGTTTACGCGGTCACCATCTTGGTTGCTAAAAAGCTGATGTGGTGAGAAAGGCAGGTTGCAAAACCATTGCTCAATGACCAAGGCACCATTTTTATTCAATATGACTCTCAAATGACTTACTATGACTTACTGAGCCTATAAACTCAGGAGCAAAGTGTTTGCTCACAGGAAGCTGTGTCCCCATGCCCTTCTATATGACTGGAACTCGTTTTGCAACCACAGCTACTGTGGCCTACAGATAGAATGTAGATTTGAGACACTTCCACATTGGCTTCATTTTTTTTCAAAGTGGAAGCTATGCCCATGTTTTATACTGTGTATGGTTCAGTAATAGCCAGAAAAGGGTTTTTGCACAACACATGATGTTACAGTGATGTTGACCTTTGATTTTTTGGTTATAAAATGTTTTCTTTTTATAACATAAGACATTTTTCAAGTGAGCACTGGTTTCCCTACAGGTGTTTCACAAAAATTGCATGAACAGGAGGTCTGACCTTCACTTTGGATCTAAATAATTTCAGTTTTATCACTATAAAGGCATAAAATCATGTTGATCAGTAGGAATCTCATCACTTGCCTGTGCAATGAGACTTTCTCTTGTGTTCCGGGGCATTTTCTCCCGTTCTCTTATTCGCTCCTGATCTCTCTCCTGCTGTCAGAGTACTCATCCAGCTGTGGGGTAGAGCATGCAGCTCCCGACAACCTGCTGAGGCTGGGGTTGTGTCTGGTTTAGATTGGAGGGAACCATTTGCTGGGGGAACGTGTTGCCCTGTCCTTGGTTAATCGTGGTGTCCTTTGGGCTTTTCTAAACACTTTCAGGTTGGGAGGTGGCGGTTGAGGAGGGGCAGCAATACTAGCCTCGCTCAACGGACGAGGATCCTGTTGCATCACCGCATCACAGGAGGAAGGAGTTTGCTGTGCTGATCCACTCTGAACACCCCTACTGTATGAGCTCGGGGCCGATGTCCACCTAAGACTGACTCCAGGCTTCTAGTCATAGCTGAAGACAAAGAAAAACAGTGTTAACACGGGGAAGCATGTTTAGCTTACTTTGCTATTTAACTAGAAAAGAAATGAGAAGCGATCAATGTGGCCTAGTAGCTACTATTAACCGAGTAATTAACAAAGGCTTAACATGGGTTACTACAATAACTTACTAGCGATGTGAGTTCTTAAAATTAGTATATCAGGGTATGCCAGCAGGGTAAGCAAGCTGGCCAAAATCTGGAGGCGTTTCACTCAGTGAGGGATTTCACTAAAAAAACTGCTCTCCATCATGGACAACCCATCACACCTGCTCCACTCCACAGTATTGAGGCACCAGAGCTCCTTCTCCCTCAGACTGATTCAACCTCAGTATCATAAAGTCAGCTTCAGGAAATCATTTCTACTATTCTCTATAAACCTGTATAATAACTGTATAGTAACCTCACTCTGTGACAGGTAAACACAGACATGGTATTCCACACATATACCTCAAGAAGCTGTTTCTTATATTACATATTATTGCTACTCTCTTACACAATATTAGTCATACTTTTTTACTCTTCCTTAACTCCAGCGATGTATTATCAAAAAGTCTGACAGTACACCCTGTATGTATTTACTGTAGTGTCTGTGTTTCCTGAGGAGGCTGAGGAGGAGGAGCTGGAGAAAGTAGCTGTGATTTCTGGCATTTTGGCGCCCCCTGGTGGCCGGAGCTGCGCCAGTGTTTCGCAAGTTTAGACGTCTCTGGTGACGCCAGTCTCCTCTTCCCGCCCAGTGCACTAAAACACTCATGTTCACAGCTCAATGATCCACCAAAACCTTAGCTTTAAAATCCTGGAAAGGGGGAGGAGACTAGAGAGAAGTGAGAGGATGAGAGGCGTACAGCACAGGTTAGAGCAGGTTAGGGAAGGAACCCTCTGCTTTCCCCCCACTTAAGTTTCGTTTCTTGTCACTGGCACTTCAAGGGAAACAGCCAGAGAGGTGAGATATTTTTGTGTGAGTGTGTGTGCTGTTCATTACCTTATTTTTCTTATTCTAAGGAGCTTGGAAAGAAAGCGTCTGGACTTCTTTAAGTTTCTTGAAGACATTTCTCCTATCACCTGAGAAGCTTCTTGGGTTCTAAGAGCAAATGGTGGAGAGTCCCAGTTTTGCTCTTAGAACTGAAGAAGCTTCTCAGATGGTTGGAGAAACGTCTTAAAGAAACGTAAAGATGTCCAGACGCGTTTCTTTCCAAGCTCCTTAGAGTACGATGACCTGGGTGACTGAGAACCTTCACAGACATCTTTTTTTCTTATTCTTTCTTTTACTACGACGTAAAGAGTGGTCACGAGGCAGGAGATGCTCATGGGCTTTAAGAAGCTGTAGGTGTTTTTCTTTTTAATGAGCTCTTATGGGAACCTGAGTGTACTTTAATGACATATAAATGGGGGAAAAATGGCTCCATTAGCTGCAAGTCCTGCACTGACACGGGGCACGCCCAATCCTTTGATTTTCATAATTTAGGTCTTCATCAGGGACAAAAGGGCCACGAGTTTGAACCCAACATTGTCAGGATTGTTTTGGACCTCTGGGCTGTGTCTGAATATTATCCGTGAAGCTTTGTGTCAGGATCCCAGACAGGGCACATTTACACACAACTTCGAGTCACTCGCCTTGAGGGCATAACCGATTAAGGTTAAACATTCATGTTTATGCAACTGTCGCTCTCTGTGCACCCTCCTCCTGCTGGTTTCTATCTCACCCACCCCTCCCCCTTTTTTCTCTTCTTCTTCCCTTTATCCTTTCAGTTTTCCATAGAATTTCCATAGGATTGCGTCGGGAAGTGTGACCTTATTTTTCTTCCTCACCCAGAAAAGCTCTCCACCATGTCTGCTCCTGGTAAGTGACTAGATTTCACATTTGTGCTGACTGTTTTCCTTTCTTCATTGGGAGAAAATATGAAGATGTAAGAGTGTTTTGAAAATGTGAGCAGAAATTCCTGTCCACCCCCCCAAAAGAAAAACTACTCGCTTGTAATCACCGTCACGGTCAGCGATGGCAGACCGTGGAGTTGAGGAAAGTGGGACCCAAACGCTGGACTCTTATAGTGAAGGACAGTGGATTTATTTATAGTGAGTGGAAGAACAACAACTATGTACAGATCCAGCACTGTGGCTCCCGTGGCAATTCCTCTGTGAATCCCACACAGTGCACGTATCCATAAACAGTGAAAAAGGTGACAACTACAAAACCCGATTCTGTTCCGTGATTTCCCCTCGTGACGACGCTCTTCACTCCCGACTCCTGGTGGCACAAAAACACACACAGCTCAGCAGGAAACCCACAGTAGCAATGTCGTTCACACAAACACCCATCAACAGAGGTACTTTACAGGTTTGACATAGTATAATCCTGCACTGACTGGAGCCCCGCCACCTTCTTAAG